AAATGACTGCTGAATGATTTTCATATCCCCCAATCATCATTTGCAGGTGAACAATGCAGGAATTCTCGGTGCGGGAACAGATCGTGATGCTTTTACGGTTGCTGCCAGTAAGGTAAATCTTCTACATATAATCCTTTGATTTCTTTGCCACATAGAAAACAAAAACACTATTCCAAGACAATTTTCTTTGAGAGTAACTGCCTGGATTAGAAAGTTTAATTTTCTTCTTATATCAATTCAGCTTCGGGCGGGTGAAGATGTCAACTGGAGTGAAACAATGACTAAAACATATGAGTTGGCCGAAGAATGCCTCAAAACAAACTATTTTGGTGCCAAAAGGATGTCTGAAACATTTATTCCCCTCCTCCAGTTATCTGATTCACCAAGAATTGTAAATGTTTCTTCTTCCATGGGGAAGTTAAAGGTAAGAGTTTTTCCAAGCATGAGTTAAATCACTTGACAGCTATTAAGTTCATTTCATGATTCTATTTCAGAATGTCTCAAATGAATGGGCGAGAGCAATCTTAAATGATGCTGAAAACCTTACAGAAGAGAGAGTGGATGAAGTAGTGAACAAATATCTGAAAGATTTTAAAGAGGGATCACTAGAAGCTGGAGGATGGCCTGATTCTACGATTGCCTATTGTATCTCCAAAGCTGCCATGAATGCGTACACAAGGATTTTGGCTAAGAAACACCCCAGTTTCTGCATTAATTGTGTTTGCCCTAGCTATGTCAAAACTGATTTCAACTATAATACTGGATTCTCGACTGTTGAGGAAGGTGCTCAAGGTCCTGTGAGATTGGCATTGCTGCCAAATGGTGGCCCTTCTGGTCTCTTCTTCTATCGACTGGAAGAATCAGAATTCTGATCAGATTGTGGGAAAGTTAATGTTTTTTCCTCTGTACTGCTTTATGATGATCTTGGAATCTCAAACAAGTAAAAGCATATGTGATAAAATAAATAAATATCATTTAAATATAAACACTGTTTGTGAGGATGGAGTAACAAAGTCTGATTTATGGTATCTTGCTTCCTTACTAAATTTTTTAGGTTTAAAGTCAATTGTCGTCCCTCTACTTTAATATTTTATTCATTCTTATCCCTTTACTAAGGACATGTTCATTGTCGTCCCTCTACTCTACCAAAGAGCCAAAACGTCGTCCCTCTACTTCACTTTTTTTGTTCGTTGTTGTCCCTCCCCTAACACCGTTCATGTTGCCATCATTGCTGACCATTAAATCCTAAACGGTCAGCAGTTAAACCCATTTGTTCTTTTTTTTTTTTTCACATATGCTGCCACATGTGATGCCACCTGTGCAAGAATAATGGGGACTACTTTGCCAAGTTGCGTTCAATTTTTTTCTCGTTGCCGGGATGCGGGATGCGGGATGCCAACAAAAAAACCACACACCCATTTCCAATCCTACTCCCTCCGGCTCCGGCGGCCTGAAAATGCCACACACTTAGTCGACGGGCGCCTTTTTCATCACCACCGGGGAATCATCTTCATCCGATCTTCCTCATGGCGGATCCTCATTTACCGCCCCAGGCTCCCGCTGTCCAAGTTCCACTCCTCAATTCAAACAACTACCGAGAAAACCAGGGCACTGATCTTGACCGGGTGCTGGACCGGCTCGAGAAGTTTCTGACATTTCTCGGATTCAAACAGTCTTCAGCACTGAGTTTTTTGCTGTTTGTGGTGGTCGGGGTTTTGCTTCTGGTTCTGATGCTGGAGTTTTCTCAGTGCTCCGGTTGCGAGAAGTATCAGATTACAAATTTTGAGCTCGACATTGTCGCTTCTCAGACGTGCTTGGCTACTATTTCCCTGCTCTGCTTGTCACATTTTCTAAGAAAATATGGCATAAGGAAGTTTCTATTTGTTGATCGATCCTATGGCCATGTGGCTTCGCTTAACGAAAAAATTATTTAAATTTTAAGAGATAAGATTTAAATAAGTATAATACTAGTAAATATATGCCTTTAAATGTTGTTATTAAAAAATTTAAAAAATTTAATTACTTATCTAAATATTATTAAAAAAATATCTCAATTCAGGATGTGGGAGTAAAAACCCACTCTTTCCCCTTCCTTCACCCCCTAATAGCCAGTGTTCAAAAAAAAAAAAAAAACCTGGCTATTAAACATTTTGCCCACGGCCAGGAACAAATCATTTACTGTAATTACTAGAGCAGAACTGAGACCAAAAAAGAAAACAAAGAGAATGATTCCTCATATTTCAAGAAAACGTAGATGAGGTGATCGAGGGAGCAGGGCAGAAAAGCCGGCAAATAAACATATTCATAAGCTTTATCCATTTCACTATACTAATTTATTCGTGCATCATTATAAATGAAAAGAGAAATGCTAAACCCACACGTTTGCTCCGCCCTCTGTTCTTTCACCCATTTCGGTACTCCTGTTATTTCTAACTCCCTTCCACACTCTCATCTTCCCGGCTCGTGCCCTACAAACACCTGCATATTAGTTTTCCATTTTGCTGAAAATTTTTTTTTTTTAACAGATTTTATTTTGGGGGGTTGAAAACCATTAATCAGAAGAAACATATATCAATCCTTTTTCAACCTTTTGATTGAACGGAAGAAGTTTAAATTAACACCATGATGGGAATGGTGTTTTCAAGCCGCCGGAGTTGGAGGGAGTAGGATTGGAAATGGGTGTGTGGTTTTTTTGTTGGCATCCCGCATCCCGGCAACGAAAAAAAAATTGAAAGCAACTAGGCAAAGTGGTCCCCATTATTCTTGCACAGGTGGCATCACATGTGGCAGCATATGTAGAAAAAAAAAAGAACAAATGGGTTTAACTGCTGACCGTTAAGACTTAACGGTCAGCAGTGATGGCGACATGAATGGTGTCAGGGGAGGGACGACAACGAACAAAAAAAGCGAAGTAGAAGGACGGCGTTTTGGCTCTTTGGTAGAGTAGAGGGACGACAACGAACATGTCCTTAGTAGAGGGACAAGAACGAATAAAATATTAAAGTAGAGGGACGACAATTGGCTTGAAACCAAATTTTTTATAACACATTCATCTGAACATGTTTTGATTGGCCACATTATGGGATGCAGCATGCATGCAAGGGATGAAGTCAAGCACCTTACTTTATGCTAATTTGATTCATTCATGCAAATTGGGCAGAAGTTATATAGCTGAAGCTTGAAGCTTCTCTTCCTATTTCTCAATGATTTCATACCTAAAACCATCTGAAACACCTGCTTCTATTTGTTATTTGACATCCTCTCTAAAT